AAAGCTTTTTAGGGGCGCTACGCTTTGTTCAAAAGATTTTGAAAGCGGATAGTTTAAGACAATTTTTAGAGCAGAAGATATTTTCAGACAGACATGGTTGAAACAACATATTCCACATTTTCATTAAACTATGCATTTTCGCTGTCGTACGACATCGAATGAAAAAAATTATTTTATGTTCAGTTGGCGTTTTGCCTTCACTGTATAGTTTGTTGCTGGTGGTAGCGTTATATTTGCGTTCCTACATATATAACCACCCTAGTTGTCAAATTTTGTAACTTTTTTCGAGATTTCGTGTTTTGTCAATGAGTGAATGAGTGACCTTGCTATTATATATTTATATACCATAATTATAACTAATAAGCAATCTAAATAGTAATTTAGATCAATTCTGACAACAAACTCCTCAAGTCTGTAAAATCTCATCTAAAATGACAACTCAAATATTTTTTGTACAAATAGTACGTGACTTACTACTTTTGAAACAAAAATAAATTAATTTTGAACATGGGGTCATTTTTGCAAACTGTACCGTGTGACATACCAAATGAAAGAGCTTGTTGTAAGGGCCTCAAGTATATAATTTATTATACTAGATACCTATGTACATCGCATTTAACGTTGTAAATGAAAACCAAAACTAAGTAGGTATATCAAGATAATAAAGTGTGCCAAATTGGAAAGTTAATGGGCAAATTTTTACAGTTGTTGAGCAAGCTTATGACAGTAACAACTGGTCAAGAAATCAAGAAAGAAAATGACGAGATATTCAGATTGAACGTTAACCAAAACCTACAACTAAGTACATTTAACTATATAAATAAAATTAATGTGAATGTAATGTGTAGGTACAAATTAATAAATAACCATTATAAATCAAAACCGTGTTTTTTACAACGTTGAGACACATTTGTTTTATAACCTCCTCATTTTACACATATGGGCTAAAGTTTTACGTTACCTGTGGTAATGAATTTTTATTTATTATTTGTAGAAATGCTTTCAGTTATTTTTATATATATATATATAATGAAGTAATAAAGTCCAATAAAGGCAATTTAAAGCTTTTTAGGGGCGCTACGCTTTGTTCAAAAGATTTTGAAAGCGGATAGTTTAAGACAATTTTTAGAGCAGAAGATATTTTCAGACAGACATGGTTGAAACAACATATTCCACATTTTCATTAAACTATGCATTTTCGCTGTCGTACGACATCGAATGAAAAAAATTATTTTATGTTCAGTTGGCGTTTTGCCTTCACTGTATAGTTTGTTGCTGGTGGTAGCGTTATATTTGCGTTCCTACATATATAACCACCCTAGTTGTCAAATTTTGTAACTTTTTTCGAGATTTCGTGTTTTGTCAATGAGTGAATGAGTGACCTTGCTATTATATATTTATATACCATAATTATAACTAATAAGCAATCTAAATAGTAATTTAGATCAANTAAAATTTTTTAAATAAGTTGTTTAAGAAAAAAATCTCCGAAACTACTGAAACTAAAATTTTGAAAAAAAAAACAAAAATCAGTTATTTACTTATATACATTACAGGAAAATTAATAAAAAGTCATGATCTAAACATATCGTGGTAAATCTTTCAACAACAAAACAACAGTGACTTACTACTTATGATAAATAGCTTGTGAATTTTAATGATGGGCAAAGTTTAGCCAAAAAAATATGGTGCCCCAAAATCTGCAATTTGTATCATCATCATCATTATCATAAAGGCGTAAGTCCTAAAATTGGTTGGACACGCATCTTCATCCTTTCCTATCCCAAGCTAATCTTCGCATTTTCCTAAAACTAGAATATACCACATCCGTAACTGTTTGTAAACAGTAATCAATCTAGGTCTACCTCTCCTCCTATCCATATGACTCTAACTAGCACTTCATTGAAAAATTACACAGGCCAATAAAATTTGGTCAAACCTTTCACTCAGAAACGTGATGATCTTGGTTTTCAAATTAACTTAAAAGTGTGAAAATCAGGTTTTTTTGGCACATTTAAAGATTTGATACATAGAAAAGCTGTTTTCCTTTTTTTTCTGAAGTCATGAAATGGTCCGAAAGAATTTGAAGAAAATGCATCAACTCTGATCATACAAACCGCCACAACTAGAGGATTTTAAAAATTCTTTTCAGTGCTAGTTAAAAAAAAAGAAACTCCATCTGCCCACATCGACTTTTATTTTTAACATCGTTGACCATTACAAAAGTTAACTAGATTTGTTATCAGCAGCCTATTAGTGAACAATTAAATGCGTTCGACGCCCACGTGATGCTGTAGTCATTTCGGTCTCCGTTTCCAGCATTGTCTTTGCGAATCGCTGAACTCGTCGCGAGGCAATTACGAGCCGTGACAATTAAATTGGTTTGCCTGAAACCATCGAAATTGCATATTAAAGAGCAATTTCGAATTTAAATATACAACGCGATTGAAATGAATGGGACAGACAGCGCATCCACTCGCTCTTCCATCCAGTCGTGGCAGAAACTAGCAAATTGGCTTCCACTTAACGAGGCATCTGCATTTATTATACACGCGATTGTCCATACATAACATAAACATGACTAAAGAAACGTAGCTGCCGTTTTCATTATAGTTATAAGCTGGAACGATTTATTATTAAACTGACAAGCTTGTACTTATTGTTTGCTCTTATGCTAAGTGTGTTTTTGCTTGATACTGTTTACATGTATGGATGTTGTATTACAAACAGACCTCCAGTGAGACACCATGGAAGCGATTGTCTAATTAGAAATGTAATTATATTGCCTTACGCAAAAAAGATCAAAACTTAATCTGCTAAACAAGTGGACGGCAAACCGAGACAGTCACATGTAGTTTTGAGAGGGGGGAAGATGATACAGTATTATAGGAGGATGATGAAAATGTCCTGGATAGAAAAGATTAAAAATGACGACGAATTGGAAACCTTAGAAGAACAAAGAGCGCTGTGGAAGTTCATGGTAGGACGCCTTCTGAGGCCTACAGGACTAGTTTTAGACATACTAAATGCAAAAGCAAGAGTAAAAAGAGACAAAGGAAGACCTTTCAAATAATTAGAGAAGTAAGATGCTTCAGTTTTTGAAGTGCGAAGATTGCTTCAGGATAATTAATTCAATTTTTTCTTATTTAATTAAACCCTCGAACTAATTATTATTAACTGGTTTTATTATTTCTAAAACAGTTAAGTACTGAATTTTATATAACATCAGGACTCATTTAGGTTAGGTTAGTCAACAGAAATCGTTAAAAAAAGACATTTGACTGTCAATATGGCGCACATTAGCATGAATGCCTGAATGTCAACCATTGAAACTTCAATCCCGAATCGCATTGCTATACACTTTATCGTCTCGCTTTTCCGCCATATGATTTGGGAAATTCTACAGGTCTAAATTGACTTGTGAAAAATAAACTGGTCTGGATGAGTGCTTTCGGTTAGGAAATCACGACGGGACTGTTCTTTTATGAAAAAGTAGTTCATTTTTCAGGTCAGTTTCATCCCCTTAACATTTTGAGTAGTAACATAATTTAGGACGCCGGAAATCTTTCGTATAGGTTTTTTGACAACATAGAATTCCAATAGCTTGTCTGGTGTCGGTAAATATTTTTTTGAAAGATTAAATGATGCATACGCGTATTAGTCTACACACACTTTTCCTACATCGGTAGAATATAAAGGCCCATGAATAAGGCATGCGACCTCAAGATTCTCGGTTTTATTAAGGTTGGTCCAACCAGGTTGTGAATAGTAAAATCAATTATTTAATAAAAAGTTATAAAACATACTAACTCACCTATACCGTACAACCTGATAATATTTAACGAGACACCTGCTTTATTACGTACTAAATAGGTACATTAATTTAATTAGTACTCATTCTCCATGTACCGACATGCAACATTCGGTTGAATTCGAATAATGTTATTGTAAAAATAAAATGCCGTAATTAATTAATATTTCATTTTCTTAAATTGATAATTCAAAACTTGGAGGCTTTTCGACTACCCGAGCGGCTGACAATGAGTTCTGATGTGGAATGTGGATGCTGTCGATATATTCAACTTTAACAACTATGCACGTAGGTATGTTCAAATGAAAACCGGAACCCTTATAGGATCTCTTGTGTGTCTGTCTGTCCGTTTGTCACAATCAATTTACTCCGAGTCTACTGGACCAACTAAGTTGAAATTTAGTACACATATACGAATTTTTATGATAGGAAATTAAAAAGAAAAGGTTTTGCAAACTGTACCGTGTGACATACCAATTGAATGGGCTTGTTGTACAGAACTCTTATAGACTCGTGTGACTGTCTGTCCGTTTGTCACAGTCAATTTGCTCCGAATCTACTCGACCAACTAAGTTGAAATTTAGTAGACGTATGAATTTCTGTGACCTAAACACGGACGCATGACGTAANTGTAATTTAATTTCATTTTTTGGTTATGTTTTTTTCTGTTATTTCTATTAAATTTGGAAATAACATAGGTTTTTCAGGGTCCTTATCAAACGAGGACAACTTGGATAGATCTGGTTTACCTAGACACGAAGTCATAGCAAGACTCAGAGACAGAGGTGAGCCCATTCTTCTATTCGGTGAAACAGAGTTAGACGCATTTAGGAGATTGAGAAAGTGTGAAATTTTGGAGCCAGAAATGAACAAGGTGAGCTGAAGGTTTTTTATTTGTTCACCATTATAAAATGAAATGTTTCTAAAGGGCTTCAGAAATGATTTCCAAGAAGCAATGGAAAAAGTTGATGAAGCTTACTTGAATGAACTGCTGGCTAATGATGAAGAGAATAAAGAAGGAACTACAACTAAGAACAAACCTCAAGAGCCTGTCATGACCTACGAGGAGATTCAGAAGATGGCAAAAAAAATGAACCGTGGTTACAGGGAACATGACATGCAAGTTATAGTCAATTTTATTGAGGTGAACTTTTATATTTATTTATTTTACTATTATTTCTTTCAAAAGTCGTCAGTCACAGCATTTTAATTTGGCTTTAGTCTTATCCATTCATATATAACAGCTATTAAATATAAAACATCATTTATCTGGGAGTATATGGTGGAGGTGGTGGTAAACCTATAACAGTAGATTTTTAAACGTGAACATCAAAACATTTATTAACCGTATACCATCTGGCGATCTTATCGTGTCGTGTAGTTGATATGGCGGCGGGGGCGTATTAAAATGTCTTCCAGGATCGGTTACGCTGTAAGGCGCCTGTGTCCTACTATTATTCGAATGTACAACCCTTCTTGTTCTGTTACCTACATAATAATAAAAAAATATGTCTATTCATTATATAGATAAGCAAATGAGCTGTGACAATAAGTTATCTTTGTTGTTATGTTCGTACGATTATGGTACATATATTTATTTACCACGTTTGCTCAGTCTAGCACTTTCTTTAACCACATAATAAATCACTACCACGACCGCGATAACCGTAAATGGGACTAAAACGTACAGGTAAATGTAATCAGTGTCATATGTTACAATGGGTCGCCTGTTTTCTTCCATATTTGCAAAGAACTCACACTCGTGATAAATTGATTATACTTTACAACAAAAATAGTGTGCAATGACGCTTCTTTCTATCCACAAATGTTTCGTGTCTTATCTAATCAGTTAAGAAGGTTTATGTCGTATCTAATCGGAAATTAAATAAGTCATATATTCTGGCACAATAGGAAATGCCCAAATGAAAAGGAATTCATGAATTGTTAGGAACATTATGTAGTTACTGTTTTTTCTTATCAATTTTTAATCAAATTGGCTAGATTTACTGATACCTCTAAAATAATTAAGATTAAGAATGTGAGCTCGAAGCTGCTAGCACCATTCCTTCGAGTGGTCGAAATTCACTTTTGTGAACAATTTGTTTAATCACTTTCTTCTTCTTTGTGTTAAAAAATGTTTGAAAAATTAAAATTAAATGAATCGTTTATAAATAGGTATGCAACACATCGTACACTTACGCATAAGAAATTGCTGATACTAACTTTCATTTACGTAATACTACTTTGCCCTGTGCCGACAGCACTCATAATTTTCTTTATATCTAATATTAAATGATTAAGGCAACTGTTTACTACTAATTCAATTTAATCTAATCAGTAATCACTAAACTCTGATTGTGAGAATATATTAACAAACTGAAACATGAAATTCGTTAAATTTAATTTGTCAATATTTACACTATAAAAGTTATTTAAAATGTTTTACGAACTTTAAACCGTTTCCAAGAAAAATTAGTGTCCTTTTTTTCACAACTGTGTAGGTAAGAGAAAGCTTTGGTTTAAGAACACGTCTGCCTTTTAAGGCGCCCAATAAAACGTTCAGGCTCCATCAGTTCCAATTAACTCTCGATGTTTAATTAATACAGATGAAGTCCTGGTTGGGCTAACTAATTACAAGCAAAATCGTTTACAGAATCGTATTCATTGCCGTCTTGTCCCTAAATATCCTGTTAATTGGAAGAAACTAATTATAAGCACCACCCTCAAACTAGAATCGGTAGAAAATACAGTATTTTAGGATTGAAGTAAATACATAGATTCATTATTGACAAAAGACACCTACAACAAAATTAAAACAACCGGACTGACTATAACCATTACCAACTAGACAATTCAAATGATCGGTGAGACATGGCACTGCAAGATACGTTTGGTTTAAATTACAGTTTGTTGAAAACATATTTTTGCATGTAACCTTCTACATTTAGAAGTACACTATACCAAAAAAAAAATTAAAAAGTAACCCAATTTTGGAAAAAATTTTAAACAAAAGTTGGTTCCGATAAGGAAATCAGTTGGTGACTTTGAAGGTGACCTTCATCTTCGAGTTCATTTGCAGGTCAAGTCACTTTTTAAATGGAAATGCACATTTTTGCCACCACCGAGAAATTTTAAAATCGGAAAACCATTCAAGATTATTTATGAAGTAGTCAATTTCGGTAAAGACATCATCATCATCATAAGGTCGTCAGTCCTAAGACTGGTTGGACACGTACCTCCACTCTTTCCTATCCTGAGCTAAACTTCGCATTTCCCTAAAACTAGAACA